GTATAAATAATGAACGGTCCCTTATGTCCTGTCTTTTATCTTGAAATGATTCAATGTCTTTTTACTCAAAAATGCTAAACATTGCATGTGTTGTAAATACCTTAGATTCTAAAAATTTCCCAGTGGATAGCATATATCCCAGACCCTATAGATCTGAGTTGTTGGAAAGCTAGGCTAAACATGTTGATGACCGAGTTGTGGTATTTACATAAACATACCATGCAAGTACTTAACTGACGATTCAGCCATTCTACAGTAGCCTATAATGTAACGCTGTTTATTATATGATAGTAGAGAGTGAGATAGCTACTCTTAAAAAATTCTTCTGTTGTTGATACAGTGAATCAATTCGTCAGTGTTTATTTATTAGTAACAGACCCATGTCCTGAACCTAAAGAAATTCATATATCAGCGTTATAGATTGCAAAAGAACCCTAGCTTATATGAATGACTTTCTTCATATATCTATAATTATAAAAAAAGGAAAAAATGAAGGCCTTATTCTATCAGTTACCTGTGTATTATTTTTGGTTCAGGACATAGAAGAGGCCTATCTTACTAATCTTAGTTACTACGGCAACGACGAATGTAAAAATTACTTATCCTGTGTCAGGCTGTCAGCTAAGCATAATCTATTATACTTGACTCAAATATGATGACAAAAGCTTTAATTTGAAAAAAAATGTTTTCAGGTTGGAAGACCACCTTGAACGATTGGAGTATGTATGAACCCTAGATTTCAACATTTCTAAGTGAAAGGTTTTACACATAGGACATATCCAAGAAAAAGATTTCTAGCACAACAAATAGAAAATACCATCTGAGAGGCTCGCAACTTGAGTGTCATCTATTGAAGACATTGGCATTATTGTAATTCATGATCTCACTTGAACAAGGCACGTAGAAAATATATCGTTGTAAAGGCCAGTAGGATTTTCGGATTATTTAAGCGTGATCCATCCATGAGAAAGTCAATATATGTTGCGCATTAGTACGGCCTAAATTATGGCTGCAATCTATGGTCTTCATCTACCAATAATCGTTGGCAACAAATCAAATTTTGATCGATGGAACATGGTATGCATTGCAAATTGTCCGATGGGACATCACAGTAAGTGTTTTCTGCGTTTGTCATCATTATGAAAAAGCTAGATTTTTGTCCCGAACCCGCTCCCCGCTCTTATAAACTATCATCCCCATTATGTGATTCGCATCGCTCGTAATCCTTGCTCGTGCCTCGTGAAATATCATGAATACGTGATGAATATCGAGTAAATATTTTCAAAAGCTTTTAATCCTACATATAATTACAACTAGCTAGCCTATAGTTAAAATTAAAATGAATCTTAAAATCATAGATCTATTTAGATCTATATAGATATATATTGGGTTTCGGGGCAACAATGTGCTGTTACATGAATTCTAACCACATTTGTCACAACTGATAAATAAAAAAACCTGAAAGGGCAAATATAGTATAATGAAAAAATGGCGGTTGTTATCTTGTGTGGGCAATGAATTAATCTCAGATTGTCATTCTTTCGGGGATTTAAATAAGACGGAAATGGTGAATAACGATAAGTATAGCCATAGCCATGGGCCTAGTAGAGATGAAAACAAAATTATTCCTACTTTCCAGTTTAATGATCACAACTCAAAATTGAGGAGGAAATTTGCCAAATGATGGTCGTCAAAGTGATACTATAATTATAAGGCCCGTTTACACTTGCAATTTTTGTTGCGATGTTATATGTGCGATTTTCGTCTTCTGATGCATGTGAACGAGTAGGTGAATTATGAATGTTCCGAGCCAGTTCCGAGCCTAGGTACCCCCATCTGAAATTTATAACTCATCGACTCGTTCACATCCATCAAAAGAAGAAAATCACACGTAAAATCAAAATCAGTATTTCAGTATATCTGAATGAATTCTTTGTCGGATTTAATAAGACGGAAATGGTGAATAACGATAAGTACATATTAAAGATGAAAACAAAATCATTCTTACTTTCCACCGGAGCTGACCAGTTTAGTGATAATTGTCTTGCCATCGATAATTTTTCAGGAACCATTCTCAAGCTTTTCTCCTGTAATATACAGTTTAATTTTGTAGAAATTCAGACAAGTTTGAAACTTCGATCGATCGACTCTTGTGAATATTGAAAGAAACGAAATACGGATGTATTATGTACGGCGTATAATGACTTATATGTCAAGTGTATTGCGTCACAAAGACGACAGATGCTTGTCTTTCATGTGAACCGATATTTGTATTGCGATGCAACGTGTTCGTATGTGTTTCTATACAATGTAACGATCGTTTCACTTCCAAGTTAACAAAGAGCACGCAATTATGTATTTCCTTTGTATATTGTGTTGGAGGTGCTTTCAACATCGGTGACTTTATATGACTTGCACTTTACTCGGCCTATACATCCAAAATATTTCTAATACCGTAAACCCTAATTTTCCATTTCAAATTTTCGGGCGGGGGCCGCGAGCTGGCTATAAACCCTGGGCATATATTCATTCATAAGCACTTTTTGATGGGCTTATAAGCAAGGGGAAGGGGTTATATACGGGGGTGGGCTTATTATATACCGACGGTATTTGGTGTTATAGTAACAATTATTGCCTGTAAACATAACCGTGAAAAAAGAAATATAAACATACAGTATATAACACATACTAATAAAACAAGTTGGTTAATAACATATTAATACGTATATATACTGTAACGTAATTATCATCACTCGTCTGAGCTGTTGGATTCACGTACGGCGTTCACCGTCGCTGCTGCTGGCGCATCAGTCACCGTATAATAGCACTTTTTGTAAACTATTATTGAACAAAGCGTTAATAGATCCTATAGAATTATATACGCTCAAGGGCTTATACACTTGGAATTAAATTGGGGAGGGGGTTTATATTGGAACTGATGGCTGAGAGAATATGATAGGCTTATACATGCACGGGGGCTTATATTCAGGAGGGAAGGCTTATACTCGGAGGTTTACGGTATTGCCAGTGTCAGACGTTGTTAACAGAAATGTTAAAAACTGATTAAGATTTTGCTTTGTTTCAAGACAAAGCCATCTTTCCAACAGCTTGTTTATAAACATGGAGATGTTTTTCCAGAACTATTGTTTGAGGGTATATAATAGAAGTTTTATTATCTAAAGTTTTAATTTGAAGAAGAGTGAACAACAAACAGCGAGTTAAATGTTAATACATACATACATACATACATACATACATACATACATACATACATACATACATACATACATACATACATACATACATACATACATACATACATACATACATACATACATACATACATACATACATACATACATACATACATGCATACATACATACATACATACATACATACATACATACATACATACATACATACATACATACATACACTTTATTTCAACACGGAAGAATCATCAGTACAAGAATAAAATACACAAATTTAAATATATACAATGTTAGTCAAAAGATAAAAATAATAATTACTGTTTTACATGATTGCCGTGCAAGAGTCCATATACTCAGTATACTATAGGAAATTAGTCAATTCGACTTTGAATGAATTGAGAGAAGGGGCTGATCTGAGCTGTTCTGACAAGCTGTTCCACAGGGAAGCACCACTGTAGCTGAAAGAACGTTTTAAATAGTCTGTTCGAGGTTTTGGAACAGACAATTTATTTAGAGAATTTCTCAGATCATGATTGCTCACTTTGGGTGTAAATAACTGCTGCAAGTATTGAGGAGCACAATTATTATTAACTTTGTACATTAGGATAGCTTTTTGCTTCATGCGATTTTTTGCCAAAACACTCCATCCCAACTCAGAAAGTAGGGATCAGGGGCGGCGCTAACCCTCTTCGAGTGGGGGTGTGTGAGTGATCTTTTGCGGACTGTTGTTTGGTAATTTTGCCGAGTCATTAGCCTATAGTGAGGGTCCCAATCCCATTTTCCACCTGAAATTTTGGCAAAATCAGTAGTATAGGGAATGAGGGTTCTAGACCACTTTTTCGGCCCGCGATCTCACCCAACTTCCGGTCAGCGGTTTCCATATTTTTCCCTCAAAAACGCGGGCTCATATTTTTCTAGACCATTTTTCTATTATTTTTGGTATTATTTTTTCTATTATTTTTGGCATTATTTTTTCTATTATTTTTGGCATTATTTTTTCTATTATTTTTGGCGTTATTTTTTCTATTATTTTTGGCATTATTTTTTCTATTATTTTTCTATTATTTTTCATCATTATTTTTTCAACATTATTTAACAATTTACTTTTCCTATTGAGTGATGTCCGTACGCGTAACTTGTAACACCATCTTCAAGTAGGTATCTTTTATCATCGAAACAGCTGAGTGTAATTTTCTTCAGTTCGTAAGTTCCGATTTTATGTTTGATGCTTCTAATCGTGTTCATCTTATGTCTCATCCTACCCTTGGTCTTGATTACGTTCTTAAAGTTTTCGTGAGTGAGTGAGTTTGTTTCTGATCACGTACTTTTTCACACCTTTAGCTGTCATTCCACCTCCACCACTTTCCTTAACGTAGGAGTACATCTTTGACCTTAGCCCCACGAATTCCGTCACCGGCACTCCTCCAGCTTCATCCTTAAATTTTCCAATTACCTTCTTGTTATGAGCTGAGTAGTATGGAGAATCTTTTGGATAATCTGAGTTGTCCCAGCAGTCTTCCTTCTCACCGATCCTCTTGAAGTCCTCATACACGTCATCAGTCTTAATCTCATACATTAGACTGTCAGTGTCAGTAAAGAGGAGCTTTGACTTGTCACCGTACTCCTTCTTAATTGTGTTGTAATGGAAGTCGTACATTAGAGTCTTGGATAAGTCTAATATACTCATTCCCACATAGCACGGTTTATTTAGAGTTAGAACTTCCTTCATTCTCTTTACCACAATCAAGTTCTCATTCATAATCCTATGCGATTGGAAGCACGGCGACGCTGTAAGTTTTAGGAGGTCATTTTCCGATGACACTAATTTTACATCAACTCTCTTCCTCAAATTTTCCATAGTCTTTCCGTAGATGGAATTGTTCATAAGTTTGAAGAAGTTTTTCTCGAACACGTTTTTGGCTACCGACCGTTTTTGGGTATTGAAGTCAATATAGTTCTTCAACCAAGTTGACTGCTTGAAGGAGACTGCTCTATAAACCTTCGTAAGTTTCATTCCGAGTTCGGTATATAGTTTCAGATTGCGGGCATGTAAAACATAGTTCTTCCTGGGCCCTAGGGAGTTTACCAGTTTTCGCACACCTCCAATCGTAAGCTGGAATTTCTCAGCAATACTCTTCGCGTAGTCTGACAACATTAATGCATTAATTTCCTTACTCTCTGGTGCTAGAGGATAACCGTTGTGTAGATCGTGAAGTTCTTCTGGATATTCCATGTCAACCTCAAGGACCATACCCCTTTCGCCGCCTTCAGGGTAGTCATCTAGGTTTATTTTGTCAACTTCCTCAACCCACTTAAATTCACCGTTAGGTAGAGGTTGGGACATCGCCCAGCCGTATAAATTGTTGGCGTCGAGGTACATAAGGTACTTACTTTCAGCCTCTTCGTCGTACGTTTCCATGTACTTATTATTTGCCGTGGAGTGTCTGTGGGCAATATGACTTATCCCACCTCTCATTCCCTTCTCAAAGAACTGGAACATGTCCATATCGCTTACCAATTCTATTTCCTCCCCTGACTGTTTTAGGAATGCGTCCCAACTTAGACTTGGCGCTGATATGTAGTGAGCAGGGTCAAGCTTGTAATTTTCCAGGCAAGTCTTCCTGAAATTCTCAAAGACATCCGCTAGAAGAAGAACGTCAGTCTCTAGATAAAGATCGTGGTAGTCCCTCATTGTTTTCATTCCAAAGTGATTCCAAACTTTTTGAGCTCTTTCGTAATCTTCATCTTTCACTTCAGATTCATACAGAGACGAATAGAACTTATCTTTACTTGGAAGCCCCTCAGAGTCTAGTTTACTTATATCATCCAGGTATTCATAAGGAAATATACCTTTTTGTCTCACAAGATTGAAGTCCTCACCTTGCCACCGCTGACCGACTATCTTGAAGTCTTCAGGTGAAAGGTTACTCACAAGTGCCTCCAGGGAAGAAGCCATGAACTGTATAGAATCAATGAACACTAGACTTTTACCAAGTGAGAAGGAAATATATTTTTCCATGTTATTTGGGACAACGTTAATGTTCATCTTAAACTTGCCTATCTCCTGCATTATTAAATGACTATCATAACCTCTTAGATTATGGAAGACCACTGGAAGTTTCCATGTAATTCTATATTTCAAGTTACACATATTATGAGCAGCTCCGCGGTAAAGTCCAGTTACGTGGTCGTGGTCCCTCACTCTGTCATCACCTAAGTCGTTGCCACATATGGAGCAGTTCCTTGTCATCCAGAACTCGGCTTCTTGCTCTGGTGTGATTTCCATCTTTTTCTTGAAGATTTTATTTACCATTTCCCGGCACTTGATGGACTCCTTTAGAACTGTCTTCAGAAAGACTTCCGTAGCGTCTTCACCAACATAGCTCACATATTCACCCGAGTACTGATCGTCATAGTGGCACACTGTTTTGAGCCCAAAACTACAAGCCTTGTGGGTCTGGTAGAGTTCCGTGGTGCTTTTGTTCTCAGTGTCCCCAGAGTCAACTTTTCTCTCCTCAGGAACTAACATAGACTCAAAATCAGCATATATTACAAATGGAGCGGGCATTGAGTTCCTATGGTTTTTGAACTTTATTTTTGTACCTTCACTCGGAAGCTTTGTGGCCTGGGTTCCGTTT